AACTTGTGGCAAGGATGGCACATCATGGTGCATATTGGAGCCTATGATCACATCTCAAGCCAGGAAATATAAAGAGGAAGACACCAGAGTCCCACAATCCCTTTTGAGGGTAATGACCTGGGGGCCTCCCACCAGGCCTCACCTCTTAAAGGCCCACTAGTGCCACCATTGTGACAAAGCCTTACATATGGACCTTTGGGGGAAACACATCCAAACCACAGCACACAGTTAAAAATACCACAGGAAAGCTAGAAAAGTGAGGAAGGACAATAATGTAGTCCAAAAATTAGAGAAAACATTGGTACTAAAATTTTCAAGAAATGAGCAAAAGTTGGAAGATGACATAGAATCAAGAAGTTTGTTTATATACTGAAGGGACTGATTGAATAGAGGGAAAAAAAATATTGATGTTGAGGGGGAGAAAGTGGTTAAGGGTAGAAGCTTAGTTAGGTAGAGATGGGATATACACGCTGCCTAGTAAAGGGGTCAGACGTAGCACCAATAGGGACATCTCATCCATTGTGAAGAGGCGTGAGCCTGCAAGTGTGGGTAAAGATGCAGATAAGATGGTAGATTTGGAGTTGGGTAGATGATGTAGCTCTGTTTGCTTTCATTTCACAAAGCAATAAGGATTGTCAATTTAAAGTAAGAAGATGGGCTGTTGAATAGAAAGTTATCTGTCATCTTGGAAAGTAGGAATGGGGCTTGACAATTGCAATAGGATTGCAAGATGTACTCAATGTCTGCTTGACTTTGACCATAAGTTTAACATTTGATCAGACAAGTATATTTTTCTTTTGTTTTATTCTGGTGCTTAGGTGTAGCCATAGGATGACTGGAGAATTGATTTTCACTAGAGTAAAAAGTGTCACGTGATCATATAGGATGATAGGTATGATACTGGAGGGCTAAGCCATAGGACATGATGAGGATTGAACTTAATATTTTTGATTAAATATTCCAAAATCCTTGTTTTATGACTAGGTCAACCCAAAATGTTTTGGAAATAAGGAGCTCATTTGCATTTTATAAAAATTTATATTTCTCTCTTAGAAACCCAAACACCCAACGACAGGAATTATTGCCATCACGTTGGCGTTTCACATATGTCACGAAGTTCACCTAGCTGGTTTTAAATATAACTTTTCTGACCTCAACAGTCCTTTGCACTACTATGGAAATGCCACCATGTCTTTGATGACTAAGGTAACATACACATCATTTCCAGTAACATTCTTTGGTATAATCTTTGTTATGGTTGAAAAGCCCGTTATTTTTCTCACTTTCACTTTACTGATAAGTTTTGAGAGAGAGCGAGAGCTTGAAGGGGGCTACAAAGCTATTGAAGGCCGAAATTAGGACTCAAGTCCAGAGGTTATTTTACTATAGCAATAATTCCTAAATTGTGGACCTCAGATCCTTGGTAGAATCTCATGGTTATTACCAAGTGCATCAAAACCATATAGGGACCAAGCCTTAGATATTATACCATGTTTGTGCTATTTAAGTATAAATACAACCTTCTGTGTTTGAGATGTACAGATTTACCCCAAAGCAGGGCTATGCTCACCGTAATTATTTTCATGTATTTGTTTCACTTTTTTCTGGGGTGCTAGTTATTGAACCCAGGGCTTCGTGCTTGCTATGCAAGCTCTGTACCACTGAGCTGCAGCCCTGCCCTTCATGTATTTTTGGTATTGTTAGAGAAGATAGTCTAGAACAACATAATCCCACAAAAGAAATTTCATGGTTAAAAAGGTTGCCTTTTCGCTAGATCGTGTTTTTCTTGATCAGAGATCAATAGTGGTGAATTTAATCCTGAGGATTTCAATTGAATGAGAAGGATTTTCTTATTTTTTTTAAATTCTTAGATTAGTGGGATACCACAAGTGATAGGATTAAAATGTTATCTGTACATTGACATATGAAGTGATCTGCTATATATGGATATATCTCATGAAATATATCTCCTTAAGTCATCCCCAAATAATACATAAACTATACTAGTAGTAGTATTCAGGCTGGATTTCATTCCTGTCTTCTGTCCCTTCAACCCTTGGCTCCTGACCATAAACCAAACATTTGAATATTAAAGATTTAGGTGCCTAGAACAGACTTTAGGCTCATTTCTCCAATCTCTAATCTTTCCTGTAGCACTTGTGGTACAAGTGTCATATAAATAACAATGTTAAAACTGAGAAAAATTAGTACTATCAATAGAATCATTTAAATTTTTTGTGGTGCTGGGACTTGAACCCAGAGCCTTGAACATAACTAGACAAATGCTCTATCACTGAGCTACAACCCCCAGATTCAGAATTATTTTTAAAAGAACATCTTAAACTGAACCATTCTTTATAGGAGGTTCTTATGTCCAGGACAGTTTTTTTTTTTTTTTTTTTTTTTTTTTTTAATGAGTTCCAAGGGGCTGGGGTTGTGGCTCAGTGACAGAGCACTTGCCTCTCACATGTGAGGCACTGGGTTCGATCCACAGCACCACATAAAAATGAATAAACAAATTAAAGATATTGTGAAAAATAAATAAGTTCTAATTTGGTGCTTTTATTTAAAAAAAAAAAAAAAAAAGCCATCTGACTTGAAATTTTGGTTCCTAGATTTGTATCACAGGATACCACAGGGTCTGAAGAGGCCTCTACTCACGTGATAGTTCAAGTGGAGAGAGTGGGCTTTAGGGAATGCTCTTACACAAGAACGAACAAGGAAAAAAAAGTAGGAAGGTAACAGAAGTCCATGTGACTTGTTACTTAGCACTCGAGCTTTGTATATAGAATTTTTAAGATCCAGAATATTCAATTGCTGTATTAATATTTTGAGATTAGAACATATAGTAATTTTACATTGTTTTTCTTCTTCAGAATGCATATCACAATGTGACTGCAGAACAGCTCTTTTTGAAAGACATTATAGAAAAAAACTTTGTAATCAACTTGACTCAAGATTGACCCTCCAGATTCAGAAGATGATGCTAACAGTATTAGTTTTATTTTTATACTGCAATTTTTAGTTTATTTTTAAATATATTCGATAAACTTTTCAAATTATGTATATGAAGTCTGTGGCTGCTTGGTGTCTCATACCCATCAGCTTAATTTCTGTGAATATATTTATGAAAACCAAGAAAGGTCAAGCTAGTTATCAGGGAAATAAAGTTTTAATTGCATTTTTTTAAAAAATAAGCTACTATTTTTGAGATGTTTTAAAACATCTTTTTATAGTTGACTTCATCTCAGACTTCTGAAAGGACATGACTTCTTAATAAGGAGATTTAGTTTACCAAACAGTTTTGACTACCATGGAATTCTGAGAGGTGTGATTGGCTACTGTACACCTGGCAGGTGGGGAACTGGAATATGATTGTGCCTTGCTCTAGCAATCTGCACCCACCTGGCTGTGGAAACCTAAGTTCGCACTGGCTTAACTCTTCCCCTCTTGTCCCCTGCAATTAGTTAAATAATGATTATAATAAGTTATAATTTGGTAGAAGAAAATGGTGTTTTTTTTTTTCTCTTTTTAAGTTAAAGGAAATGGGCAAAATGTGAAATTCTGGATAAGTAAATAACTAATTCAATTACTAAGTCTGGTTGCTTTGTATTATTTTAAACAATTAAAACTAACTTTCTACAAAGAAGCCAAACTAGGGAAGCTCAAGGAAGGAAAAACTCTGAAACATATTTTGCCTGGCATAATTTATCCATTAAATTTTCAGTTTTTATTTGAAGTAAATTGGGAAAGGTAAGGAAGACAACAAAGCAAATTAAGCCGAAAGAACAATCAAGCTGCCAGGCATGGTGGTGCACACTTTTTTTTTTTTTTTTTGGTACCAGGGATTGAACCCAGGGGCACTCAACCACTGAGCCTCATCCCCAGCCCTTTTTATATTTTATTTATATCACTGAGTTGCTTTGCACCTCACGATCCTCTTGCCTCAGCCTCCCAAGCTGCTGAGATTACAGGCCTGCACCACAATGCCGCTGGTGGTATGCACTTGTAATCCCAGTGACTCAGGAGGCTGATAAAGAAAATCACAAGTTCAAAACCAGCCTCGGCAACATGGCAAGGCCCTGTCTCAAAAAATAAATAGGGCTGGGGATGTATCTCAGTGGTAAAGCAAACCTGGGTTAAATCCCCAGTACCAAATGAGAGGGAAAAAAAAAAAAAGTCAAGCTGTTTTTAGACTTAAGTATTTTCATGAAAAATCCCAATTTTTCACACGATTAATCTTCAAATGAAAAGCTTACCTGGCTATCTTGGATGCACCAAAACATCCAACTGGATGCAAATAAGTTAGTCCTACAAATGTGGTGAGCTGGTTTCTTTTCCAAATTTTATGAACAGAACCAAAGGCTCTTTGGGGGTAAGAGAATAAGAGGTGAAGGAGAAAGGAAGAGAAAAGCAGAGGTTATAACAATGGAATTAAAAACTGTCAGAAGACGTCTGAGTTTATTTATAAAAGAATTACTATGCTGAAAAATAGATATCATTGGGAAACATCAATGTTACTGACAAGCATCCTGCCTGAGTATACAAAGGGCCAAAATGAAATACTTAAAAGCAGTGGGAGACAGAGAAAACTAGTAGTTGATTTAACTTGAGTTCAGACACTAATTATAAGGACTATGTTCTGTTAATACCAGCATACGTTTGCCTAGTGCCTCAGTTTTATTTGATTCTTCTGATAACTCGGATGAGGAAATGGTGGTACTAGACCAGAATCCTCTGCATTCTGTGGGATATTTCCCTTATAACACACAGCCATAGGAGGCAGCCTGGCTACTAAAGTACAGTTTATATAAAACGAATCGAGCTTCAGAAAGGATGGTGCTCGGCAAAGGGAAAAAAAAATAGTGGCATTTTCAAATGTTGGTATGATCACGGTAATAACGGCCATAAAATTGATGACTGAAGTGAATATTGAGATATCTGGCATTTTGTGTAGTGTGACAAAATCTACAAAGCTCAAGTTTCTTTAAGCCAAATAATCTGAGCAAGACACAAATATACAATTTATTAAAAACACATTAACACATTAAAATCTCACTATTTATACAATCTATTCTAGCAACATATACAAATACTGAGTGACTACAGTACATGCCGAGGTAAGAAAAGTACATTCTGGGAGAATATAACTGACACCCAAACCATTTTTACTTCCAATATATATTGCAATACATGTTTTATTTCTACCATTCCCAGTGCCAAATAAAAGAAAAAAGTAAAAGAAACTAGTCACAAGTTGAATTAAATGAGAACTGGTGCCACAGTTGACTTAAAAAGTATTTTAATAACATCCAATGCCTATTTGCATTTTTCAGTTTAGGGACTTTAAGTTCAGAATCAAAAGGCAGAGCTAATAAATTTTTGTTTTCTTTTTTTAAAGGCAGAGGTTCATCAGTTCTCTTAAGAGTTGAAAAAGCTTTCAATGTCCCTCATAATATACTAGTTCTTTCTAGGTGCCTCATCTGACATGGTGTTTCTATAGCCCTTTAGCTCTCCAGGTGACAATATGGAACCAAGGCAAAGATGCTCTGGACTTATCACTCTCCACAGCTCTGAGGCCACATTCAGATGGATGATCTCACATTCCGCTCTCCCCTTCTGGGAGAGGGAAGAGGAGAGGCAAGTGTACATATAACATTGTGATTTTAACCTGTGCATAAATTCTCTACTTCAACCATTTTCACCATTGAGTAAACCCATTGTTCAACACAAAGTGCAAATAATGAAACGTGAACTTAAATAACTGGACTAGACCTGGCACATTCAACAAGATTTAGACTTACAGCATTTAATAAAATATAAATCATAATTCACAATGTCTTTAACTGTGCTGGTTCCTAGAATCAAGTAACAGCCAAGTCAGTGTAATTTTATGAAGTCAGTAATGGCCACACTTGCCACATCGCTGTCTGATTCTATTTCTATATTTGTATTATCAGGAAAAAATTTAATCCAATAACCCACAGTGACTAAGTCTTAAATATTTCAAGCAATCAATAAAAAAATTCAAGGGAATTTTGACAACAATAGTTACTTTCACATTTTTAGTTGTTACTTGATTGTCTCCAAAGCTGTATATATCAGACATATAAATGTAATAAAAACCAGAAATAAAGAATTCTAATATGAAAACAAACTAAAAGTACAAAACCAGAAAAACCATTTGAATCAGGCTCAGCAATCCATCTGGAAAGTAAAATATATAAAAATAGTAAAAAGTATTTTATTAAAATCATTGGTAGTTCAAGGACAACAGCACAGTGGCAATATGAATCAAGTCTTAAAATATGCATCATTTCAGAAAACATTTGCCTCTCATTGAAAGAAAGATTTTTTTTAAAAAAAAAGCTCCAGGGAAAATGATCAGGTTGCACAATTGTACAAAAATAGCAAGTTTCTTTGGGAAAATGCAACAGTTATTGAAACATCTCTCTTAAAGCTTCAAACAGGCATATGACTTGAGGAAAAGTATATTCCCTGTGTACTAAGGATGAATATAAACAACAAAATGGTTTACTCTGTTCCCACCTGAAAGGGGATAACTGCATTAATACATGTGCTTTACAAATTCACTTATGGTTTAATAAAAGTACAACATCTGTGCTTTTTGTTTAAAAATATGCACTGAGTTTTCAATGAGTGAAAATTGTGCCTCTAAGTTTGAAAAACAAAAAGCAAATGAAAACAAAACCAACAAAATTAAACAAGAAGGAGGCAGAGAAGCTGCAGAAATAAACAGTTCTCATTTAGAAGCAATCTTTTTAAAAATACTGATGCACTTGTGGAAGTGAGCAAAATGAATACTGTTCAACTTTATTCAAACATCATAATCTGCTGGCATGAGCCAACAGAAATATCTAGAACCTGATGGAAAAATACATTTTAACATTTAGTCTACACACTAAAGTTTACGATAAAGGGAATGTCAAATTCATATATTTTTATCATGGTGAGCTTACACTGTCTTGCCAGTCTAAAGAGATTTAAAAATGGGATTTGCGATATAGGCTAATATATTACAGATGATATCTAATTTACTCCATCTGAAACTAGTTCTGGGCAGGTCATGAACAAGTGGCAACAAGGAAGTTGCCAGGAGGTATCAAAAACAATTTCATTGGCAGGATGTGATGATGTCTGTTCCGTAGCTATGACAACAAAGGACTACTGACACCTCTTACCACATAGACAAGACACAATCACACAGTATCAAAGAACACATGTTGGGTTTCTATTTCTTATACTAGTTTTTCTGGGGAAAAGTGAATATATAAAATATTTAATTTGACTAAAATTATAAAATACCATGAGACACTAAAAAAATTTGTATGTATGTATACCTATGTGTGTATATATGTGTATGTGTATACACACACATATATTTTTTATATGTATATATCTCCAAAGAGGACAAGTTCTGGTTACTTTTTGTTGTAGTTTTTGAAGGTAGTTTATATTACTTCTGAGTGAAGAGGGGAGAGTCTCCTTTAGGACTTTTCTAAATTGTAAATTGTTTCTCTTCTGTTTCCACCTTAAGAAGTACACTTGAAGACATCAGAGGATCTGAATTCATGAGACTGATAATGCAAGCATCACCTACTGAAATAAAATATTTTATAAACACATGAATGGGGCTAGCCACGATGGGCCCTGGGGCAGAAAGAATAAGCAGGAATGAGACCAGGTCCATGAACTGCTTCAACTCTTAAAAGTATCAAGAGGGGAAAGTCGGTCACTTTTCCAACATGGATCTTCCTAAGAAGATACCAGGGTATATGGTTGTGGTCAAATCAAACCTTATCTCACTAATTATTTTCAAAAAAGAATACAGAAAGTAATATAGGAACAGAAGAGGAGGAAAGCATGAGAGTACCCACCTTTCACAAAGGGAGAATTCAAGCCATTAGATATTTCAAGAACAGTACCATGCGTTATTGCCAATCAGGCTTATAGAACCATCTCTTGAGTTCATTAATGTACCTGCAGCATTGGTAATAAATACTCTCAGTGATTTTCAGTTTCTCTGAAGTGCATTATAGGGAGCTTTTTCTGTATTAAAAATAATGTTTTACAGTAGTAACAAACAGATGTTCAAAATTATCAGGCAAGCAGTAATTGTGCCACAGCAACACCTTTTAAGCGAGATAAGTAATTTCCTGTACCTCGGTCACCACATTTTCCCAACCACTTCAGTGACAGATATGTAATACATTCTATATATTACTACAACTAATTAAAAAAAAAAAAGGCCATGTGCTTTAAATTGATGCTTTGTAAAAAGCAGCATTACCTTCAAAGGATTTCTTTAAAAACATCACACTCCCCATCCCTGTCTGCTCCTGACACTTCCTGCGTGTTCTGGGGCACCTGGTACACCAATTCATCTGGGACAGCTGGTCCTGGCTTCCCACCTTTCGGGGTATCATACTGGGCTCGGGCTGAGGAGCAGCTGTCGGTCCTGGAGAGAAGTGTATTATATGTTCCCACTAAAGTAGGAGGTTGGTTCCCTGTAGCTTTGAAAGTAGATGTGGAGGGCAGACCAACTGAAGCTGTGGGGTGCCCTGACATGTCCATGATGATGGGGGTTGCGTACTCAGGTCCAGTAATTGGCAGTGGTTCAGCATAGGCATGATACACTTCTTGCACTGGAGAGTTGTAAGGATCAAGGTCTGCATAGCCTGCTTCTTTTCCTTCTTCTGGTTTAAAAGTAGATCTCTGATGAAGTGTACCAACAATTCCTCCCACAAGTGGCTGTGCATACTCTGCAGATACCACAAAACACAACAGAAGAGTTCTCTTGCTAATACAGAGATTATGTAATTTAAGGAGGTAGCTGCAGGTTACACTAAGAGAAAATACTTCTCTATGGCATGGTTATTGCTATTAACACACGAGTCATGGATTTCCCACTTACAAGACCCAAATTAAAAACTTAATGTTTTCTAGTATTTCACAGTAATAAGTTAATCTGCCAGAAAGTCTCATTCATGTAATTTCACATACACTGTATACGTTCTTTCAATTGAGGTAGTATTTCATTACAAAATAAATATTTCATTTTTAGAATGGTATTAGTCTTAGAAAATACCTGATTTTTTTCCTTTTCAAAAATATGAGAAAATGTTTAAAGTGCATGTGTTCTAGGACAGTAGGATACTGTAAAGCTCTGTCTTTCCTAATGCCAGTCTTAACACCTTTGTCCTACCCCAAACAAAATAAAACCAAAACCCAGGTCAACAAACAAAATGCCCCAAGTCTTTAGAAATGAATGTTCCAATTTTATGAATAAAACATGTAATATGTTCTCTCAAGATCATCTTTTAAAAAAGTCTACCCTTAGAATACAGCTTATATTTAACATATGAAAAAGATCAAAGATCCTATAAATCCTATAGCACTTTTCAGAAAACTTAAGCCGTTTCTTCCTCTACCTGGTATCCAACAGCTGCCATATAGTTACCTGCAGAGTCAGTTTGCAGCATTGTAGTGACTTCTCTTGGACTCAAATGATTCACCTCACTACTGCTATAGCGCACAGGGGTCTCCTCATGTTCCACTGATTTGGCAGGGAGAAACTGCTTCATTCCTTTCCACCAACCTTCATTGTGACAGTAAGCCAAAGAGACCATTTATTTGTATAATATATATTAATATAAACTAGACTTCAAATTCAAGCTAATTTTCTGCAATGATTAAGATTATCCAGTGCAAAGCAGAACATAGTAGAAATCTATTGAATAAATATGAGGAAGGAATCCTGTTATCATATGTAGTCAGAGAGAACTTCTGTTGTAGGGGTGGTTTTTAATAAGTTCTTCTCAAAAAATAATTTGCAAGATCCATCTGGGGGTGCCAGCAGCACTATAATCTGTCCCACTACTGCCCTTTTCTACTCTAGTCCCAGCAGTGAACAGTCTCGTTCTAGTAGTGAGAGTAGAAGTGGGGAGGACCAGCAGGGGGCCTCTGGTATCACTTGTAGTAATTCAGAAGATGACAACTCATCACTATGGAGAAGGCTGACTTCATGAACTCCTAAACTGTTGGCTTCACTTGGCAGAGTGACATGCACATGCTGTTAAAAGGATCATGGTTCTTTGTTTCTTACTCATGATCACATAGGACACACAGAATGCTGGTCTCAAGAGAAACTGAGGACATAGGAGAAACCAGACAAGCATTTCAGAAGAAAAAGAACAGAGCACGTGTTATGAGAAATTTGCACTTTCTATTTCATTATTTATTAACTAAAAGATTGTGCAGAACAGTAAAAAATCGCAAGAAGAATGACACTTTTCTAACAGGGTGGGGGAGGAGGGGTTCTGTGGGCCTGAGAACCATGCTCTCCCACTACTGCCACCTGCAGGGGAGGGATTTCCCTCTGACAGAAGAGAGATGCAAATTCCACCTGAGTTACCTGCCCGGTCCCAGTAAGGCAAGTCATAGGTGCCTTCCGTTTTTTTCTTTCTGGAAAAATACAGGGGAAAAGAAAAAACAAAAGTAAATAGAATGAATTCTCTGGAATGTAATCTCTGAAACTACAGCATAAAGTCCAGAGTGAATAATTAATCAAGAGTACACATTTCTACTTGTTCTGAGAGGGCCCTTTATTGCATTTGACTTTCAAAGTTTCCAGAGCTGTGGATTATAAATTAAAGTTATATTGCTACTCACATATTACACACTCAAAAGTGATAAAGGAAGAAAAATATTAAAATACTGAATCAAATCAAAGACTCAGCCCTGATAGATGGGCTATTCTTATCAAGTCACATTAGGTCTGTTTGGGTTTCAAATGTAAATTTAACAAATTAATCAATCCACAAAATCACAGAATTAAAAAACGATCTTCTAGTATTCTATTCAGCATTTTTTCCTTTTTCTTGATTGTATTCCTTTTTCTTGATTTTCTTCCACTGCCCTTGGCCCCAGAAAATTTTAAAGTGTATTATACCCTTAAATGAATAAATTTTGCTCCCCCACCATCCCAGCATAAGTTGATGCTAACACTAACACTGACAAGTGGCAGAAGGAGGGAAGGCACTACAGAGTCACGGGCTCAACTAACAAGACACTTTCCAGTCGTCCTGACAGGATTCTGATTTGTACCCCCCAAGAGAAATCTCTGTTAAGAATTACATTTAGAAAGAGGCTTTTACAAAGAAAAAAATAAACGAAAGAACATTTTCTGATTAGAGTATGTAACTCTAATTTAACTAAACTAGTTTGCTCTGCAGGATAATGAGAAAACAGAAATTAGTCTATAAACGAGGGTAAGGTGGCTCTTTAATTTTCTCAGTATCACAAAAGTGGCTTTTATAAAGAACTCAAAGCCATTTGCTTTTCCTACTATGTTTTTATTGTTAATATTAAGTGCTTCCTCATTTTAAAGCCTGGCTATATTTATATTTCAGGAATTCAAAATAAAGTATAATGTAAATTCTTATAAGTGAAGTTATGCATTAAAACTGTTACTCAAAACTCGAATGAAAAATAAATAGTAAGATCTTGCCCACGTCGCACGCAGGCGATGGAATTTGGAATAGGCAAGAGGCAGGCTGGCTGCAAAATTAAGCTAAGAAAAAGAAGCCCTGAAGAAATCACACTAAATCACACTACACGGTAGAGCTAGGGCAGAGATCTCACACCTTGGACAGTCTACACATGGGATGCCAGGATGGTTCCCAAGGGGAGATCTAAGTCCCCCAAAGGCTCAGTACCGAATAAAAGACCACTCAATTAGCTTCATGGGTGGTATACCACAGTAAGACTGTTCATTAAACAAAATTCTCCCCGATAATCCTCTATTGTAAGATTAATTTTTTAAATATCAATAATCTTTTCTAAATATAAGTTAAGATATCTTAAATAGTTAGAACAAAAATTAATGGTATGAGTATTACCAAGGGTTGTACTACAAAGGATTATACAAACTGAATTTCAAGTCACAAAGCTTCATATTATTTATTCATCACATATAATTGTTTAGAACAGTGGTTGTCATGGGGTTAAAGATTCAATAAGTTAGAGCTGTGTTTATTTATTCACTTTTTCCTCTTTTCCACAGTCCCTTAATGGTATCTGTTCCTTAACTCCTTGTCATGAAGCTAATCACTGCAATTTTGACTCCATTCTTAGTAGTAATTCCAATTCTCCAATTCAACCCTTTTGTCCTGAACACCAGGCATGTATCCCACCACCTCTGGGGAGTCTAAATATCCAAGGGTCCTTTAGACACCACTATAAATTGATCTCAGGATGTGACTCTGACCCTCTCTAAACAATTCTGCTCCCCTATCCTCACCCTCAGGCCCTGTGCTTCCATCAGTGCATTATCCTTTATTTGTTTGTTATACTTTGGTGGCAGCACTGGATAAGAACACATGATCCTATGCCTGGTCCAATACTCCACTTTGCCAGTACTAGACAGTGACCTTGGGCAAGTTATTTATGCTGTTGGCCTCATCATCACTATTACTATTGTTCAGTTCACTGAATTCATCATGCACTCTCCTCTCTGGACTTTGCCAAAACCCTTTCCCCTTCTCCCTTTCCCTAGTGCCCTCAGACTGGGCTCTGTTCAGCCTTCCCAACACCAGGCATCTTGGGATCCATATGCTTCTCCAGTTTCCTTCCATGGCATGGATTCTCTGGTAGGCCATGGCTGACAGCTTTCTGTACTGTAAGCTTGGGATTCATCACTGGAATCCCCAACTCTGGGTTCAATACTTAGCATAGAGTAGCAGTCAAATCTGGAAATATCTGTTGAATGGCTGAACAAGTTATCCTCGTTCTCCACTCATGTCATTACTACTAGTCTAACTGAAAAAGTCAGAAACCTCAGATTCCCTAAATCCTTCCTTTCTTAATAGGTAACCAGTCATGTACCCTTTGAGGCTGCTGTGAAACATCTATTCGTTTATGTCTTCCCATTCGCTAGAATCAGTGTTTCTGCCTGGCTTAATTAACCTTGCTGTCTCTTCCCATCTATCTTAGTAACTGCAGAACTTACCAGTTTTTAATGGGGAAAAAAGGAGAAACATGTAATTTTTATTCTAATGATTACCCTCTCATCAAATAGATGAATCACACTGTACGTGGTTTATCTTGTTAAAAGTTTCTATTACACTTAGGAATGTACCTTCACCCCCTGGAACAGTCAGATGAATTAGCTCTGTACTAACCTGTTTCTCCAATGCCAAGCGCACACTAATATGAGGATAAGTGTAGTGAGGACCATGACTAGCACAGGGACAAGAACCGCAGCCAGTGCTACATCTGAAGTTATAAAACATAAAAACCAGGTTAATACTAAAGACAGAAATCACAAGAGAAAAGACAGAAAGGTTTAACCAATGCAATGTTCTACACTTTCCTATCTTAAAAAGTACTTTACACATCACTACAGAAACAAGACTGGGAAGCGGTAACAACTGCAGAAGCCACCATAGATCCGTGGGTGTTAACTACACTATTCATTCCACATTTGTATGTTTTTCATAAGTTTTCGTAAGTTTTAAATCACCAATAAAAATTGAAAGACAAATGAAAAACTGGGGAAATATATTTTCTGCATATGGTAAAGGGTTAAAGAATATAGGACTTTACAAGTCAAAAGCAAACAATAAAAAATGAAAATCAATTAAGAATACATTAAAAAATACAAATAAGCAATAAACATTAACCTCACTAGTAATCAAAAATAAGTTAAAACAAGACACTATTTTTTGCTTATCAAATTGGCAAATATTTAAAAGAAAAACTAATTTTTAAGAGCATGCTAGAAAACAGGTATATTTTTAACCTTTTAAATGTGAATATAAACTGATACTATATTTCTGGTTGATTTTTTTTAGTAATATGTATAAAACCTATTATAGTTGGCAAGTCTACATCTAGAATTTACTCTTGAGAAGAAATTAAGAAGACATCCAAAGATATATCTTTAAAGATGTTCATTCCTACTTCTGTATAAGAGTGAAAAACTGATAAAATTTGAATATCCAATCATGAAAAGAATAAATGAATCATGGTATCCTCCTTACAGTAGGAATGTCATCTAGAAATTGAAAATAGTGTCATAATGGCAGAATATGTGTACCAACAGGTCAGAAATGGACATAATGCTGGAGCTGACAAGGACTTAGAGATCATTTAATACCCTTATTTCATGCCACACATAGGGAATCTTGTGCACATATACAGAAAAAGGTCTGCCCAAGGTCACATGCAATATTAAGTTTCTTCATCCTACAATCCCCTCCTAACCATGAGGATGATAATAGCAGCACTAGGGACTAAGAGCCAGGCACTTTGGTGAATCTAACATATAGCATCATCTTTACTGCTTAAAACTGTATCCAAAAGGGAAGAGAGAACAGGGAAAAGATATTCAATATTAAGTCTCTCAGAAGTGAATGGATGGAGGGCTGGGGGTATAGCTCAGATGGTAGAGTGCTTGCCTCGCATGCACAAGGCTGTGGGTTTAATCCCCAGCACCACCAAAAAAGAAATGAAGTCAATGGATGGGCAGGCATCAAGGCACAGGTGATGTGATGAGCCTTGGGCAGCATAAGGAACCCTCTTTATCAGTGCAGTTACCAGAGAACACAGGTAAAGCAGTAGGTTCCTCTCAGCTCAGTAGGTTCCTCAAGAAGGGAGTTTCCTTCTAATGGGCTTCTACTTTCTGTATAAAGCTGGAGAGTTATCTGAGAATATGTGAAGATCTCTTGGTCAAGTGTTTCAAAAATATTGAGAACATTTAAAATAGCTCCAGTTGAGAACACAAAGAAAGGTTCACTAGGGAAATCAGAAAGACTGCCAGCACACATCTGATCCTGACATGACTTTCTCCAATCACTCTGGGCCTAGTCATAAACATGGAGGAGGAGAGGTGCATTAAAAAAAAAAAAAAAAACACATGACTCAGGCTAAAGCACTCAATTCAGAAAAGCAATTGTGTTTCTTCCCTAAAAGTTTGTGAAACTGGAGAGAACAATCATGTTTACATGGATGCAGTGTAAATCAGAGGCTTTAAAACATCAGCTTGGGTTTAAAAGAAAAACTCCACAGACCACCATGCCAAAGAAAAGAAGACAAGAGTCTTCAATTAAAGACTAGCCCATTCTTTGTTATTCTTTTTTAGCTTCCACAGCTACTACTTTGGAATAAAAGACTTTAAAGATGCTTTTAGGCTTGAGGTTTTGAGATTCTATAATTAGATTTTAAGGTAAGTAATACTTTCAAAAGAATATTCTTCCATCCTGGCAGATGTACATGCCTTCTACAAACTGGTAGAAGATCAAGAGTTTCTTGATCTCTTGCTTCTGAGAACTCTTGCTTCTCTAGCTTTTCCTGCAGCATGAAAATGAAATTGTGAAAATGCTTCAGAAGACAAGAAAGAAAATGATATAAGACAGAGGGAGAAAGTCTCTGAGTCCAGGCAAATTTTTAGAAAATCAGAATAACTAAAGTTCTCTATTGCACAAGTTACTCTGCATGAACTGACTGCTCTGAAAATGAGTATGCTTTCCATCTGTCAGCATTGATACTAATTCCATTATGATACTGATGTTTTCTTCCTGAGTAAAACTGAAATTTTGTTTTTCAAATATTAATAGGAATAATTTTGTACATTTTAAATGTTTTGTGTATCTGAATGTAACACTACATTATGTTGATATTTTAATGTAAGATTTAATTTTACTTATCGTTTATAACAATATTTGAAAGCAAATTCTACTTCATTTGTATATGCAATCTGAAAAACATCATAATTATAAATAAGACCAAAGCTTTTTAAAAATTTTCCCTTTTTGCCAATGACTTCTCTATCCAGCAAATTAATACATAATCAGGGGCAAAAAACCTGATTTCCTATTTATGAAGACCAACAATGTGTCAGGCACTGTGGTAATTTGGGGGGATACTACAGTAATATAAAACAATAAAGAAAAATTAACATAAGATACTGACAAGTTGTCCTTATTTTTAAGTAATTCAAAATAAGAGGTATTTGGCTTTGATTTTAGTAATTTCTAGAAATACTGCATGTCTAAGCCTGAGACCAATGTGATTAGCTGGAAAGGGGAAAGCTCTAACTATATGAATAACAATTTTACATGGTGCCAAAGAATAGCACTTAGATGAATACTGTCAGTCTTTCCCCTAATGGAAACTAATTTTTTTTTTTTAACACTTAAAAAGTATTGTTAGAGAGAAAGAAACCAAAAGTTTAAAAGCTGGAAAATCTGTTGAAAACAAAACACTCCTAAGCAGCATTTTACATTTGCATACCTTTGGTTACATGTGGAGTTACAGTAGTATTTTTGATATCAGGAGTGGTGGTTGTTTGTTCTGTCTGTGCAGGAAATTCATTGTTACTTCGAGGTTGTAGTGGTTGAGTAAATTTGGGGGCACGACCTGAAAAAAAGTTTTTAAATTAATTTTTATCTATTCCAACATTTAAGATAAATTTAAGATATTAAATTTATTTTATAATTTAAGATATTAAAGATAAATTTATTTTATAATATTTTAAAATATATTTATGGAAAATTATAGCACAAATCCAGAAAATAGCACATTCTTGCATTAAAAGTAGGCATACCTTTGGCTATTCTGGGAGGGGCTGTAGTATTTTTAAGGTCATTGCTGTTTCGAGGAGGTGGAGGCTGAGTAAGTTTTGGAGGACGACCTTGAAAAATGGTTTAGAAAAGTTTATACATTGTGTTTTTAAAAAGCATAAATGTCTGAGATTTCCTAAAGTACTTAATTTTACAGAGCAGATTTTAAGTCTCAGAGAGAATATATCAGAAGCTTAAATACTGCATTCTGCATTACATGCATACATATACTATGGCTTTTCTGATTTAAATAGTCAAATCATCTAAAAATAATCTTAGGAAGGAGAATGTTGGGGAGCAGAATGATGTTGAACTCCAGAACTATATAGGTGTCACCACAATTTGACGTTTATTTGACTAATATTTATACAGAGCCAATTTTATGTCAAGTACTGTGGTAGTTGTGGGGATACAAGAGTAAACATTAAAATATTGAAAGAGGTTATTCCCATTTTTAATTAATTGAAACTAAGATGTACATATTCTAAGGTTACCTTTGGTGCTTATGGTATGTTAGAGTGCATGAGACTTGATTAAAAATTATTAAGACTAGCTTTGGCAAGCAATCTCAATAATATCATATACCTTGAGAATGATGTTACCTCCTCTTTTATTATAATTTTGGAAAACATTCTGATATGTAACTTTTTAATACTGTAACTATTTACCTTTTAAAATCATTTTTTAAAAATTTAATTATATATTCTAACAGGATTTTTAAAGGTAAAGAGTTACCCTCTGATCATTTCACATTGTATACAAGTATTGAAATGTATGGGGTACATGTACCCTACAAATATGTACAAATTTTAAAAACTAGTGAAAATAACATTTTTGAAATACACTGTCTTTTTACCTTTAGGAATAAACTGACATCCAAGCAGTTCCATTTTCATGGCAATTTTCTGCTGCCATTGAGTAGGGTTCACTCTAATAAAACGTGCAATAATTGGTGGCAAAAAGTTATTACGCACATCCTGGTGATAATCTTTGTTTCCTTGAAATATCTTTTAAAAAAAGAAAAGTTGGTACTTAAATCAACAGAGGTCAGAGCCTAAATCACTCCACCTAAACATGCTTTTTGCTGTGGCCTTAAACAACACCTGCAATATATGAGTTAATTTCTAAGAAAAAAATTTAATCAATTAAAAAAAAAATCAAGGTGCACATTTTCCATTAAAAATTATAAAAGAATATTGCACACAAAAATTATTTAATTTGGGAAAAGGGTTCAGTTATAGTGAGACTGCTCACTGTATTAACAACTATAGTCCTACAGAATTACCAGTGATTTAACTGTATTGATTTTATTTTTAAAGTAAAAAAAAAAAATAATTGATCATACAAGGTCTCAGAGGGAATGCTTTGTTTTTATCCTTTTTATAATTGTATCCTCAAAACACAGCTAAAATGAACATATACAAGCAAGCACATAACAGATATACACCTCCACCTACTGGATAAACTTCACCAAGGCAGTTCCCATATGGTATTTCTAGTGTTCAATACTGATTGATTTGTGAACCAGAAAAGTAACTTTGAAACACTGCTCCATTCCTAATTTAATGATCAAACTAAATAGCTACAAATACACTATATAAATAATCCTTAGATAAAAATATGATTTTAAGTGACAATCTTATTCCCTCAATTATGTCAAGCTAATAATAATAGCATTTTTATACTGGAATAGCCCTTAATTGTTTCAAAAGCAGTTTCATGTAATTAACTCAATTGCTCTCATGACAGAATGAGCAGGGAACAGGAAGCTGTAACTCAAAATGTAAACAGACTGCATAGCTACTCAATGACAAGGCTGTGACTTGAATCTGGATCTTCTGATTTAAGTAGAGGGTTCCAAAACCCTAAAAAAGTTCCCTAGGCCAAATCAGTTAGTAGTTTCTAAAGACCATTAATAAGTAGACAATAGCAGCTATGGTGAGAGCAAGTAAATGTTTAACTTCAAGTTATTTCCAAATACTAAGGCTATTTCTTCTTAGTTGATTATGAAGAAGTTAGACTATAAACCTCTAAGATGTGTTAATAACCTTCATTTTCTTAACATTTGCTTTAAGTTATAATAATTTCTACACTTGTAAGCTTCCATGATTTCTTTAGATATTAAGTAATATCTAAGGCAATTATTTGCAGTCTTATTTTATTAAGGAACAGAAACTTGATATAGCAGAACATCATTTTAGAACATACAAACTATTACTAAGATCTCTAAAAAATTCTATAAAAATTGAGTAAAGATTTTTTTATGTTCAAACTATGATCAATTACTGAGAATTCCTGTGTATTTTGTAAGATGTGACTAATATAAAATGGAAAGGGAAGTCAAAGTTCCTACCCATCAAGGAACTTAAATTTTCTTGGATATTATCAAATATAAAATATGGCAAAATATTAGAAAATAACTTGATAGCGAATTTGTAGATATGTATTAATTCCATTTTCTGAAAATAAAACCAATTTTTCTCCCCATCTACATGCATGTGATCATGCACATATGCAGGCTTAGAAGAGGTGTGAAAATGAAAACACCAATTCCCAAGGAGAAGGTAGGTGAGAGAGCAGATGGGAAAATGTGAGAGAAAAGACTGGTGTTTTATATAATTCAGTGTGAGAATTTCCATTTCTGTCTATGATAGAGTAACAGGGATTAGACTCATTCTTCAGCTTTAAATGTGAAAACCTGGATAAAACATAGAAAGAGTGGTTCTCAACCATGGGTCAACAAGCAGCATAGGTGAATAATCACTGGGAGAAGAGAAACAAAGCGAGCCCTGCTATTGCCCCAGTACTGTCTAGAGAGAGTTTCCAGACACTGTAGGAAGAGAGATCCTGCACAAAGCCTGACAGTTACTGAGTGGAGGACACAGAGCTCAATCCAATAGGCAGTTGAAATTTGTAGGGCAGAGTTACGGAAAGAAGGAACAGAGTAAAAGTAGGACAGACTGACTTCTAGGATCTATAAGGGGGTTTTCATTTAAATCTTTAACTACATTAAAGAAACAACCTGTGGCCAGGAAAAGAACAAGGAGCCAGTAGCATGATTCTTATAGATATGCGAACACCTCACATTGCCAACACACAGACTGGAGAAACTTGACAATGTATGGTACCTTGGGTTGAGTGGAATTAGAAGAGTACTGTCTCATTAGTAGGGGAAAAATTAGAACTAATGCCTGCTCATGTCTTAACAAAGCTTAAAAGCAAGACTTAAAAAGAACAAACTGTTTTCTAACAGTTTAACTGCATCACAGAATAAAGCTCAAAAATACATAAGGGAGTAATAGTAAAAATCCAGCACCAAATAATGGTATAATAATGGCACATCTGATCAAAAATTATCAGGCATGTAAAACGTAAGCCTTGATATTAACAAATATCAAAGAATCCAGATAAAACACATGATAAAAATCAGTAAAGACATTAAAAGTTATTATATGTTCTATATGTTTCTAAGATACACAAGAGACACAAAAGAAATTTTAAAAACCTCAAACTGAAAATAAGAAGTGAGAAATACAATATTAGAGATAGAATATTTTGGACAAGATTAATAGCAGATTAGACACTACAGTAGAATTAATAAACTTGAAGATAATAGAAATTTTCCAAACTAAAACATGCAGAGAAAAAGACTGAAAAATAAAACAAAACCCACTGTACCAGTGAACTGCAAAATATCTTTATAAGGGCCATAGATAGTACTCATAAAATTAGAATTAGGAATGGAAAATATTTGAAGAAAAAAATGGCATGTAATTTTGTGAATTTGATGCAAATCATAGCTTACAAATCCAAGAAGCTCAAAGAATCCTAAGCAGAAGAAATATGAAGAAAATTCCATGAAACCACATCATAATCAAATTGCTTAATAATAAGGAAATCTTAAATTATAACCACAGGAAAAAAAGAAACATTACATATTGAGTAACAAAGATAAAACTGATAGTACATTTCTCATTAAAAATAATGCAAGTTAGAAAACAGTGGATCAATAAATTTAAAACACTGGAAAGGAAAAAGACAACCTTGGATTCTATAGCTAGTGAAATTATCTTTCAAAAATGAAGGGAAAAGGTCTTTTTCAGAAATATATTTCAATGCTGTTAGAAGGGTTTTTTTTTTTTTAATATTTTTTAGTTGAACACAATATCATTATTTATTTATTTTTATGTGGTGCTGAAGATCGAACCCAGGGCCTCACATGTACTAGGTGAGTACTCTACCACTGAGCCACAATACCAGACCCTACAAGTTTTTATAATATAAACATGAATAATTTTTCCATTTAAAAATTCAACTTATTCCAGTTAAATACGGATGTTCTCATGGCAGAGTAGTCAAGTTTGGGGCATTAAACAGAAGAGAGGTATGACAATGTTGCTATTTGCCTCAACAAGGAGGGAGTTCATCAAAGACAAAGTTCATGAGATATCAACAGGAAAAGAGGAGAGAGGGCCTTGACTAGCAGCAGAAGAGTTTGAATCTATGTAAATGGTAACTGGGAGCCCTTGGAGTTTTGAAGAGAGATGAGAAAAGTAGTAATTGAAGATATCTTACCAAATTATATATATGAAAGAAAATATCATGTAATTAAACCAATTTCTTTTTTCTTTAATAACTTTACTTATTTATTTTTAAGTGGTGCTGAGGATCGAACCCAGTGCCTCACATGTGCTAGGCAAGTGCTCTCCTGCTGAGCCACAACCCCAGCCTAATTGAAACCAATTTCATTGCAAGTTAACTGAAAAAAAAAAAAAAAAATGTGCTCCTAGTTTCAATTCTAAATGGGAGGCATCATCTTCCTTGGAGACAGGCACTCACTCCTCCATTTAAAGATAGATCCCTTTGGTGGTCACAGGCAAGAAGCGTGTGTGAAAGGTGTAAACACCTGATGAGATCCATTTTTGCCTTCTCTCTACATCGTAACATCTCCTCTGGTTCATTCTAACATCTTCATCATCTTTATTATTTTTTTTAGTTGTTCATTGACATTTATATTATTTATGGAGCTGAGAATTGAACACAGTGCCTCACATTTCCTAGACAAGCACTCAACCACTCAGCCACAACCCCAGCCCCAATCTTCATAATCTTCTGCTAACTAAAACAAAAATTTCCTAATAATCATGAGATGTTAAAGAAATTATTCGGGCAGGAAAGAGAGAAGTATTCTAAAATAAAAGTTGGCAAGATGATCTTGAAATGACCTTCCAAGTCTTAAATGCACTTTTAGCCTTCAGCTTTTGTCTTTTCCCTCCTGTCTACGAAGTAGAAATCGGGAATAAATTAGTGTCATTTGATGGATTGATAAGAAGTGTTGAAAGACAAGAATTTATGAGTTTCTTTGTAGTTTCTCAAGTGGCCAAACAATTCATTAGAAAATTCAGTGATAAAAATTAGTATTGACTAAACAAATCACAAAAAGGGATCCAGAATCACTGAGAATTTTCTAACTATAGTCAAAAGGGTAAAGCCAATAATCAAACTACCTAAAATAACCAGAAGAGGGCAACATGAGACAAAATGACATTTAACTTTTACATTTGAGAACTTCTGTGACTTTTGGCAAAGTTTCATTTTTTAAATGTTTTTTAAAAATACCTTGGTTATAATTTTACCTTATCCTGCTCCACACCAGGCTCTCTGTACACAGTCCATTTCTGCCCATCGTCACTGTACATAATTCTGTAGGCAGACACATAGTAATTGTGTTCCACCAAAGTGGATCCGGTGGTTATAATGCCTGAGGAATGAGTTGCTTCCATTAGTGCAAAGGGCCTGACTCCAGAGGTTGATTCAACATTAAAGCATAAACTTCTAAGATGCACTGTACAAACATTTTTGTCCATGGCTCATTTACATCTAAGTACTAATTTTCATCATAGTAGTTACTAACTCCTTGGTTTTATTCTTTTGAAGAGACAGAAATAATTATGGGTACAAATAAGGAAAGAATTATTCTATTTTGGCAGTCTGTATTCCAATCATTATAAAATATATTTCAACTTCTGAGTAAGACTGCCCTCCTGGGAATAAAGAAATTAAAGATCTGACTTGTATTATTCTTGATACTAAAGCAAAATAAATCTTTTAACAAAATTACCTAAACCAATCCCAATCAGTTATTCTGATCATTTGCTATATTCCCCCAAATTAAATAAATCTATGCTTAGCACTTGTGAAATATTGTTATTTATAGCACTTAAAATGGACTCTCCTTGAACATAAATTTCTCTTATTGATTCTAAGAGATGATTGTTTAGGTGCCTCAAAATCACTTTATTGAAACTCTAAAATAATTTTAATTATATTAAAATTAATTTAAAATGATTTTATTATTAAGAAAACTATTAAGAATCAAATACCAACCCTTCTCCTTTGTTACCTTTTTAAAAATGCTTTCATTAATGCATTATGGTTATATATAACAGTGGGGTTCATTTTGACATAATCAAACATGCATGGAATTTAATTTGCTCCATTTCAGTCCCCAGTGCTCCCTCTGGCCTTCTTTCTATTTATTGTTTTTTGTTTATTTTGAAATTGGTGCTTTATAGATAAACATAAAGGCGGTATATTTATGTGTGTACACACAGTAATTTTGACAAATGAATTTCACATTTCTTCCCTTTTTCCATCCCTCCTCTCTTCCAATCTCCTTCCTCTACTCCACTGAGATGTGACCACCCCCTTTTCCCCTTACTTTGCTCTAGTTTCTGCATATCAGAGAAAATATTCAACCCTTGACTTTGAGTCTGTCCTTTGCCATGTTTTATAAAACTACCTCCAGTCATATTAATGCCAGTTTAAAAAAAAAACAAAAAACTAAAATCATATACTTAAAATTTCTATGAAAATCTCAGATGTCATCAGATTTCCAAATAAAATCAGTATTATCAATTGCTATACAAAATTATGTCTCTTAACCTGTTATCTTCTTTTCCTTATTCAGATCTATTTGTAACCACTGATACTCATCAGTGACAAAAGCAGCCCAAGGAGGGCCAGGCTTTTTCAGCCTGGCCTTCTCAGGTTTCCAACTATTCTCTTGCCCTGTGTGGTCAGTCCACTCCAGTACAGATGATGCTGTTATTTGAGGATCAGCAATCACACCCGATTCCATCCCTAGTGTTCCATAACAACCTGAAATAAAGCAGGAAGTACATTTGGTTTCTGTACAGAATTCTGTAGGCAGACACATAGTAAATTCAAGATCTTTACAAACATATTTATTGCAGACTGCTAGGCAAGTGCTTCTTGGAACTATATCTTTGTGTATAATCAGGAAACCTACAAATAATTACTTATAATGCCTAATACAACTACTACGTAAATAGCTGTTACACTGTATTGTTTAGGGAATAATGACAAGAAAAAAAATCAGTACATGTTTGGAACGTATGCAATTTTTTCCTCCAATGTTCTCAACTAGCAGATGTGGAACCATGGATACAAAGGACTGACTGCATTCATTTACAAGCAGTAACTGTTAGTGAATGGAGATAACATTACCTTGCCCCAGGACATTAAACAGATAAGTGGGCAACTCAATCCTTTACCTCCTTCAGGTTTTTGTTTGTATGTCACATTCTCCATGAAGCCCGCCCTGATCTACTAAAAACTTCAAACCAAGTCCTCCCGGCATTTCCTATCCTCCTTCCTTGCCTTATTTTTCTACATTTTTATCAGATTATAAATAGTACATTGTAAACAGTAATATATTTACTATTTGTCAATCTCTCATTACAAGAATGTAAGCTACAGGAGGGCAGGAGAGTTCTCACTACCAGCAGAACAGTGCCTGGCAAATGAAAAGTGGTACTCAGTAAATATTTTTTTTGGTCAAATGAATTCCTTCTTCAGAGAAGTTTAAAAATCATCTTCTCTAAGCAATCTTCTTTGCTTCCAATATCATTTCCTGATTAATACAGAGCCTGTGGTTTATTTTGTTCATGGTATTATTAGGCACCTTTTTGGGGGGCGGGGGGGGGTACCAGGGATGAGTCGCTTAGCACCTCGCTTTTGCTGAGGCTGGCTTTGAACTCATGATCCTTCTGCCTCAGCCTCCTGAGCCGCTGGGATTACAATTGAGCACCACTGTGTCTGGCTACCAGGCATCTACCTTGATCATCATGTTTCTATGACAAGTAAATGAGAAAAAGCAAAATCCAGCAGATGGCATGGCGTTTGAAAAATATTAGTTTGTTTTATTTATTTATTTAAAGATTTTTTTAAAGATGGACACAATATCTTTATTTATTTATTTTTATGTGGTGCTGAGGATCAAACTCAGTACTTCACATGTGCGAGGCAAGTGCTCTACCACTGAGCTGTAACTCCAACCCCAGTTTATTTATTTACTTAATTCCCCCCACCCTAGTATTGGGGATTAAACCAGGAGTCACTCTACCACTGAGCTATATCTCCAGACATTCTTCAAACAAGGTTTCATAAGTTGCCCTGGCTGGTTTCAAACTTGTGATCCTCCTGCCTCAGTCTCTGGAGCCGCTGGGATTCCAGACATGGATCACTATGTCCAGCTCCAAATATTAGTTATTATACACATTATAATAGTATAAAGTCCATGAAAGGCTTACCACTTGTCTTAAATGTAAAAAGACTTGTAGATAAGTGTCCCCTGAAAGAGAGAAAGATTTTTTTTAATGACACATAACACATGACTTCCTCATATTTATCTCAGTGAAACTTTTTTTCTTGGTTTGTTTTTTACCCTTCACTGTTTAAAGAACTAAAGTTTCCACAGTTAAAAATTAGACACCTGGTAGTGTTCTCAGTCTTATTTCTATGCAGAACAACTTTTGAAATCAGCATGACAACTTTCTGTATAAGTATCTAACTCCCAGTTTCACATACAATTATGCAAATATGTCAATGTAACCTTTAGTATGTACTTTTTTTCTTTTACATGAAATAAATAGACCCCAAACTTTTCTGTGCTTCTGATGAAAGTACATGTGATCCATGTGTGGACAACCAACATGTCTGAGAGCAGGTTTCAGTGTTAGAATGTAGCATTCTAACACTGATGAGCAGAATGGGTGAGCTGAGGATGGCGGGAGATGAGATATGTGTGGAATTTGCCATATGGCAGGTAGTAAGACTCCAGGGCACCTGGAAGAATAAGATTGTCAGTGCAGACTCCCGCCCTTAACACCACATTCAAACTGTCACAAAAGCACAGAATCTATCTATATGTTTTTAAAGTATGAAAGACAGAAGTCACATACACAAACACTTCTTTCTAGTGGTAGAACAGAGGAAAGGAATAAAAGAAGGGATCCAACACCATGCACAAGACACTAAAGAAAAGGAAGGTAGCTTACTGCACACCATGGCTGGGCAAATGAAAGCCCATGCATGGCCCATTGTGTATGGCCAGTGGGCTAAAGTTGTGAATAAAACAAATGAACAAAAATAAGTGACAGAGACACGAGGCCCATAAAGTCTAAAGTACATACTAGATGGCTCTTTAAGGAAAAAGTTTGCTAACTCCTCTGTCCTGTTCTGGGCATGGGTCATGCTCCTATCATCTGAATCTGGTCGAGGATGAGAAGCTGACTTCAGTTAGGCTTAATACTGTCTGTAGGACCAAGAATATCTAAAAGGCAATGTTTATTTTAAAAAGCCTACTAATATGTATTTCTACTTAATGTTTCAACTTCTCCTGTATTTGATGTCTAATCTGTTTTGTAAAACAGCAGAATACTGTAGGGACCATGAAATTACATTCTTGAATATTCTCTTGGGGTGAGAGGGACATTCCTAATATCTCTGCTTTATACCAAGATTTATTTTATATTCAAAGTATTTCAATTATCATTGACCCATCTTGGTTTGTGTAGTTCTGCCTTCTGATTCTTACAGTAAGAATTTGGCAACAAACCTCTAAACTTTTACTCCAGAATATTTCAACACTTACAAAAGAAGAAACAAATTTCCCTTCCAAACAACTAGCTTACTGAAGTAGAACAAATCAAAATAGTGCGATACTGCTTATACGCCTGAAAATACTAAGACATGGAGAACAAAATGGTTGAATGCTTACTGCATAAAAGTTATTTCAGGAACACCATGAAGAAAGAGTGATTTTGTTGCAATCTAGCTAGTTCCTAGACCCCCCCACCCAGAATGCTTATTATAATTAGCATATATACTTACACCACAGATGTGACGTTGTTAGCCAAAGAACTTTCATAGTATGGGATGCCTTTACTAATTACAACACTGATTTGGCCACCTAACACATTTGACACCACTCCTGCATGCACACCAGCCATGCACAATGGCGAGGACTTGAAGAAGGGAAAAAGAAAAAGTTAGTTTTTATTTTTCATTTTTTGGGGGGTAACTTTATATAAGCAAGATACTTATACTTGCTCAATCAGTTGATCAGGGGAGTTTTCTCATAAAAACAGATGATTGATGCTATAGGACAACACATTTTTTAGCAGAAGAATAAAACATTACATATTATTAAAAAGAAATATTCCTAAATTGAAAGGATGAAGATATATAATAGATACATATCTATCTATTCTAGAGTTAAAAAATAAAGTTTATCACAAATTTAAATCTATATCCAACTTACGTCTCTATATCCATGAGGAATTGTTCCAGAGATCTCAGCAAAAGGAAGCAGACAACCAGCTGGACAGTACTTACTGGCAAATAAAAACAAGTAAAAGATTATATAACACTGGACTTGCTAGGGTTTACATCAAAAATACCACACATACATGTTTCAGTTCAATGTAACTAGTATCACCTTCTATACTGACAGAACCACCACTACCAAATGCCCTTCAGACTTTCTTCTACCCACACTCTCAACATGTCTTCATATTATCTACAAAAATGTTCTTACATTCTACATATTGCTTTGATACTTCATAATGAACGGCAGACCATAAGAGAGATTCATCATATTTCATGTTTATGTGAATGTTTATTATATTGTCTGTTGAATATGGGCTGTGCTAGAAACTGGGTTTACAAAAGTCACCCAAGTAAATATGGCCCCTATAATCTTAAAGTTAATATTCTAGTGACAGAAAAAGACATTAAACCAATACTTGTACAACTACTTATATTTTGATTCTTCTATAAAGAAAAGGCACTTTGAAATAACTGGGAGAATTTTAATGTAATACAAGTAATATAAACATTTGGTAACCTTGTTATGTCATGGAGCATTCTAAGTGTTTCGAGTAATCCACACAAGAATTCTATGTGGTAAATACTATTATTATCCTCCTTGCAGAGAAGCAAAATAAAGAACTCTGTGTCATGTCACACAGACCTGCTGAAAGGCAGATGTGCTCCAGAGACTGTACTGTTACACAGGGCTCTCTGCACAGTTCAGGGACTGGGGCTCTAAGGAAGTGAAAGCTTAGCAGTGATCTGGCAGATGGAAGAAGTAAGAGGTGGGCACTGTATAATGATCACTAGGAAAAGCATGCCCTGAGGCAGGACGGCCTGGTGTGTGTCTGCAAGAGCAGATGGCTGATGCAGGTACAATGAGTGAGCAAAAGAAAGGTTAGAGAGATGGGCAGAGATCACATCCTGCAGAGGCCCTGTGAGCTAGGGAATGTGTTCCTAAGTAATAGTAGGAAGCCAGTAAAGGATTTGACAGCTTACATACATTATCTGATTCATATTTTTAAATAAAGATTATTCTAGCTCCTAAGAAGAAAAGAGACTGCAAGAAATCATGAGAGGAAGCTGGGGTGGTGGTGAAGGAGCTAGAAGTGGAGGGAGACAAGCAGACTCTCTACCAACTGATGTCTGGGTTACTAGTGTTGACCAGGATCCCTCAAATGCTAAAGCCAGCACTCTTTCCACAACAGCAGGTTGGGAGGAGGTCGGTGACATGGGTCTTGAAAGATGAGAATGATTGTGTCTAGCATAGGGAATAAAGTCATTCTATGCAAAATGTCTGAGAACTCAGAACCAGTATAAATAAATAGTATACATAGATAAGATTGGAAAATTGGCCCACGGCTATTTGTGGATGACTTTGAAGACTAGACTAAGGAATACGAACAACTTCTTAGCATAAGTTTTTTAATCTTAGCATAAGATTTTTAAGCAGGTAAAAGATCACATACACATTTTAGAATGCCACTTAGAAGTTGTTTGAAATTAGAAAACCAGCAAAGATGAGAAATAGGAAATCTATTTATCTTAGTCTAAGCAAAAAACAAAATCAATAAAACAGAGAAATAGTAGTGAAATGCTACTTGGGAAAGAACACTAAAAAATTCTGTAATAGCGTAAACCATCCTCATTCCTTTTCTCTAAAAGAAATAAATAAAATAAAATGAAATAGTATTATTACTCTTATAAATACTTTTGCCAGGTTTTAGAAAGCAACTAGTTCTATTTTTAAAGCATTTAAAAATTTTACTTTCATTTTGAAGGCTTATGCTACAATTAAAGCAAAATTTAAACAGGGCAATTAAATGGCTTTAAATAATCTCTAATTTTCCACTCTTGAAACTGATTGTGTCACACATTATACATTAATCTTCAGAGTAAAAGAATAAAGTGTGCATGCACAAACACAGTCATTAATATGGTCATACCTGAATTCAGGTTCCAAAAAATTGGATGCAGTGTCCAAACAAGTAATTAGATCTAGGGAAAAAAAATTCAATGATATTCAGATTTATTACTCTTGTTTAAACATCAAGTATTACAGAATCTCAAATTATATTGATGTAAATTTCAAAATCTCAACAGTACTAAAAATTACAAATTTTCACCAGGCGTGGTGGTGTACGCCTATAATCCCAGTGGCTTAGGAGGCTCAGGTAGGAAGATCACAAATTCAAAGCCAGCCTCAGCAGATTAGTGAGTACTTGGCAACTCAGTGATACCCCGTCTCTATAAAATAAAATAAAAAAAAAAAAATGGCTGGGGATGTGGCGCAAGTGGTTAAGCACCCCTGGGTTTAATCCCTGGTTAAAAAAAAAAAAAAAACTATAAATTTTTGTTAATCATAGTTATTTCTCTCATTTGATATGTCTTGCTTCTGGGAGCTGTAACTCCTTAATACTGTTTTCTATTACATCACCTCCTGAAGTCATATCATACATGCAGAACATACATACGTGAGTAAAATTTGTACACTCTTAGAATGGCTTCTATAAAATACAGCTCCAACATAGAAAACCATTTCTTGGTTGTTATTATGACTAAAAATGATCCTTTGATGTTTACACACAAGGAAAATAATGACAAATAAGAAGTGAGGTAATTCTGTGGCTCTAGCTAATTGCATTTGAAATCTGGTCCACAGACAGAAACTGCAGCATCAGCATCTTCTGAGAACTTAGAAGATATTCAACCCCATCCAGACTTACAGAATCTCTGGAGAGGGGACTCAAGAATTTGTTTTGAAAAACATTCCAGGTAATTCTTAGGCACACTTAAATTGAAGAATCACTGCTCTAAAGAAATAAAAACTCAAATTTTAACATTTTTTTCTATCTAGAAATCAATATATCCAAATAACAGCTTAAACTACCTCTAATTAAGACCTAGTTCCTAGGCTATATAAAAGGAAGTTTTCAATTAATAACACTTAGTGGCTTCCTTCTGCTCTTGGGATTGAGAACAAAGCCCTCAATGTGGTCCACAGAGTCTTAAAGGGTTTGGTTCCTCCTCTCTCAACTCTTGTCTTGTACCCACCTTGGCTTCTCACCACTAGCCCTCTTTGGAGACTCTGGCACATGATGCTCTTTTAGGCTGGAAGGTTTTTCCATTATCCCTTAACCTAGCTGTAAGATCTTAACTGTTAATTCCTCATAGAAACTGCCTTGACCTTTCTAAGCCAAACTCCATTAGCACATAGTAGGTACTAAGTTTTGCTTGTTTTAATGAGCAGTTGACTATTACATGTTCTCGGTATACCATATGCTATGTGAGATTGCTTTTGTTGATGGAATTACTAATTATAAACAATATAACTTTGTAATGTCTAGTCCCTGGACAAAACTGGGACTGTCTTCATCTTTGCACTGCCAACAGCAATTACAGAATGAAGGACATGCTGGAGACTTTCCTTGAAGATTACTGAATCGATGGGAGAATGAAGTTTCTGATAATTAGTGTTTGGCTAAGTTCAATCTTTACTAACCTGAAGGGAAGCAAATCAGGAAGAAGACCCAAAGACAATCACAAAAGTAAGATATTTTACATATAAATGTTTGGTTAAAAACTGTCAAGAAGGTTACTACATTGATGGAGCAGCATACTTCCTAGCATAAAGCTGATACATTATGTCCTCCACAGCAAACCCAGGATAACTGATCACTCTATTTTACAATTTTAAAGAAATTTTATATTTATTATCCAACTGAAATACGTCTTGAAAAAGCATAAAAAGTACATTATGCTAATTGGAAAGTGGCATTATGAGAGCAATTGTATGGATCATATGCACACATCATAGGCATTGGAATGATTAACTTACATCTGTGTTTTAGAGGTAACAAGCCTCCACAGGGGTTCACTACTACTTAGTTGACCGACTTCGAAAAGCAGACAAACTGAATTACGTACACTCTATAGTTACGCTTGTCAATCTTTGCACAGCATCAATGAAAATCAATTTTCCACTTTCCTGCTCTACCAAAAAAATTTCCAACTTCTAAGATTAGAAATTCAGCTTCTAAGATTAATAGCCTGTGATGAAAAAGTACCTGTGTGGTCCAACATGGCATTCAAGCCACAAGACGACTGCCATCTGGCCTGGTTACCTTCACAGCACATGCCAGAAAGCTGGTTGACAATGGATATATTTGATCAGAACAGGGCTTTGGTTGTAAATTTGTGCAGTACTTACCCTCCACATTATGCCATGCAAATGTGCAAGTAATTGCCCTGGCTCTAAAATTCCAATAAGGCTCAAAAAAGCTCCTTTGGAGGAAAATAAGAATTAAAAATAGTTGAAGGAGGGACAAGAAGACTGAAGAAAGGGAAAGCAAGCCACAAGTACAGACTCTGACATTTACAACTTCACAAAAGCAAGTAAAACATTAAGCAGGAAATTAGATTATGTGTCTTTCTTGAAAGCTTTCCCCAAGTAAACAGACTTTCAGAAAATTGTTGCTACTACAAGGGTCCCCACTAATGAAAACACAGCTCGGGAAAGAAACAGTCTGTCTCCAACACTTCTGATTGAAGTGTTTAAATGAAGAGAACTAAACCCTCTACAGAGTCTGGAACAAAATCCTCAAATTTAAAATTGAATTTTGACATGGGTACTGTTATAGTTTAGATATGAGGTGTCGCCCCAAAGTTTCTGTTAATGCAAGGATATTCAGAGCTGAAATGACTGGATTGAGAAAGTTCTAACCTAATCAGTCCATCCTACTTTGAAGGGATTGACTAGATGCTAACTGCTGGCAGGTGGGGCATGGCTGGAGAAGGTGAGTCACTGGAGATGTTCCAGCAAGGCTGCATCTTCCCTGTTCTCACCATCCTTCCCTGCTTCCTGATACCACCATAAACTGAGCAAATTTCCTCTGCTGGGCCCTTCCCCTGCAATGTGCTGCCTCATCTTGGGCCCAGAACAAAGGAGTTGGATATCTATGGGTTGAGACCTCTAAAACCATCAGCACCAAATAAGCTTTTCTTCAGTTACTCTTTTCGGATATTTTGGTTAAAGTGATTAAAAAACAAACAAACAAACACTAAAACAGGTGCTCAGACAAAGGGGGTTGGGGGAATTAGAGAGACAGTCTTTTAAACCAAGGATGCTGGAAAAATTTGATATCAAGAATGAAATTGGATGCGTACCTCATGCCCTATGTAAGAATTATTCAAAGAGGATCTAAATTTAAGAACTAAAACTAAAGACTTTTATAAGAAAATACAGGAGTAGAAATCAGGGATGTAATTAAAAAAAATACTTAGAGGTAAATGAGAAAACTGATGCAACATATCAAAACCTCTGGGACAATATAAGGTAGTGCTAGGAGGAAAGTTCAATGTACTGAGCTCATTCATTAAAAGAACAGAAAGTCAACAAATAAATAACCTAATATTATACCTCAAAGCCCTAGAAAAAGAAGACCAAATCAACACCAAAAGCAGGAAAGACAGGAAAATAATTAAAATCAGAGCTGAAATCAATGAAACTAAAAACAACAACAACAAAGATCCAAAAAAACCTGACAAAATAGTTGGTTTTTTGAAAAAATAAATTGATAAACCCTTAGCCAAGCTACAAAAGAGAAAGAAAGAAAACTCAAATTACTAAAATTTTTTTTTTTTTTTTTTTTTTTTTAATTTTTTAATATTTATTTTTTAGTATTTGGCGGACACAACATCTTTGTTTGTATGTGGTGCTGAGGATCGAACCCGGGCTGCACGCATGCCAGGCGAGCGCGCTACCGCTTGAGCCACATCCCAGCCCCCAAATTACTAAAATTTGTGATGAAAAAGAAAATACAGCAGTACATCTTGACCTTAGATTAAGAAATGGTTCCTTAGATATAATGAAAAGAAAAGGCACCAAAATAAAAATTGATAAACTTAAATTCATCAAAATAAAAACTTTTGTGCTTCAAATGACACTATCAAGATAGAGAAAGACAGCTTAAAGAAACAGTGAAAATATCTGCAAATCATATCTGATAAGGGTCTATAATCCAGAATACTTGAAGAATATTGAGAAGTGACAACATAACAACATATATCCATGTGATGGAATGTTATTTGGCCACAAAAAAGGAATGAAATATTGATACATGCTACAATATGAATGAACTCTGAAAACTTGTAAAGTCAAAGAAACCACTCACAAAAGATCACACACTCTGATTCAATATAAAAATCCAGAACAAACATATCTACAGAGAAAAAAGGTAGTTTGGTCATTATCTAGGATTGGTGAGGCTCAGAGTAAGAAATGGAAAGTGACTGCTATTAATTATAGTGCTTCTTTTGAAAATGTTCTAAAATGGACTTTGGTAAAGACTGTAAAATTAAATATACTGAAAAGTGGTGAATGTCATACTTTATGAGAATTATATGGCATACTTTATGTGAATCATCTCAATAAAATTATTATATAATGTTTAAAAATTAAAAAAAAAAGATTTCACAGAAGTAATATCAATTCCTTTAACATATAGCACTTCTGCATAGATGAGTAAAATAAAGCCCAGTAAAAGGTCCAGCATTGGCACTTCTTTCAATCATTCATTTGTTCATTTATTCATTCAGTAAATATTTAATAAATATTTCAGTAAATACTTAATCTCAGTAAATATTTAATAAGCACATATTATGATTCAGTTAATATTTAGTGTTTAGTATTTATTAAGCCATGTATTATGACCAGGTGTTTTCCTAGGCATTAGAGAGAAAGACAAAAATCCCTGAGCATAGGAAGTATACCTCCAGAGGGAATATGGTGGAGAAAATATGCAATATTAGAAAGAAAAATATAGTGTGGTAGAAGAAGATAAGTATTTAAGGAAAATAAGGAGAGTGAGGAAATTAGGAGATGTTAAGAACTTACAATTTTAAGACTAGTGGTCAGGCTAGGCCTCATTTGAAAGGGTGAAGTCTGAATAAAACAAGAAAATAGGCGAGGAAGTGAGGTATGAGATATAAGGAAGTGA